TGGCCAATCCATCTCGTTAGGGGTCTTCCTCTTTTTCTCTGACCCTCCACCTTACCCAGCATGACATCCTTCTCCAGCGACTGTTTCCTCTGGACATTATATACACACTTACATTATATACACACTCAATCATTACATTATATGCTTGCTCACTCAGTAAAACCCCGATAACTTATATACACGCTCACTCAGAGAGACCCCGGTAACTTATATTATATACATGCACACTCAGTGACACCCAGGTAACTTAACATTATATACTTGCTCACCCACTCAGTAAAACCCCGATAACTTATATACACGTTCACTCAGTCAGACCCTGGTAATTTATACACACTCACTCAGTGAGACCCTGATAATTTATACACACTCACTCAGTCAGACCCTGATCATTTATACACACTCACTCAGTCAGACCCTGGTAATTTTTGCACAGAGTCCTGATGTGGTGCTATAGGATAAGCACTGGGCTGCAAGGTTGGTTTGAGCTCCAAGGTTGGCAGCCACTCCTTGGAGACCCTGTACGGTGTGGGTCTGTAAGAGTCAGAAGTGACTCGATGGCACTAACAACAGCAGTGTAGACACACTGGCTCCGTGAGATCCAGGTAATTTGTACCCACTGCCTCAGGGAGATCCTGTGAAATTCTCCACATTCATTCATGTGTATTTGAGCACGTGCTCTTTCTGGAGGTAGTGTTGGTGGCTTTTAGCTGTGTGCCTCCATTTGGGGTGGGTGTGCAGGAGTGCCACCCTCCAGGGCTTCTCTGGGTTCCTCTGCCTGCAGGTGTTAGATGGCACTGACAGCCAGTATCCAAGCCTGCAGATGGGACAGCTGCAGGATGAAGATGAGGACGCCGCCGGCCTTCTTCCTGACGAGGCCGCCGATGCCTATAGAACCTCCTCTGCTGGTGCGTGCACCTTCCCAGCACTGCATGTTTAAGCTTCTCTTCGCTCGGCAAGAACTGTTGCCGTGTCATTGTTTGCTGAGAGCACATGCTAGAGGAGGGATAAGCAGGCCTCTCCTGTACCGAATCCTACACTAAAGTCCGTATTCCGGGCTCTCTACATAAACTTGTGTACTGGTGGTGTGATGGGAAGCCACTGGTTATGCGGACCTTTCACTGAAGCTGGACCCTCTGTCTTTGAAGCTGTCCCACAGGTGCACTTACTGAGGAACAGGGGGCACACCCGGCAGTCTTCTGACAGCAGTGTGGATAAAGTCACGTTACGAGAGGAAGCTGCTGAGCCCGGCGATCAAGAGAACAAGGTGAGCTTCCGGGCTCCTTGCTGAGCGCATGGCCTGGCTGCTGCCTCTCTACCAAGTCTGTCCCCTCCACAGCACTGGTTTCTGCTCAGGCCCACGCCCTTGCATGTCTGACCACATCCCCAGGAGACTTTGCTTCCTCTAAGCATCCGTCCCAGACAAATCTACCTTGGTGCGATCTCTGCCCAGCCTGGTGGCCATGGCCTTGACTCCTGGGACCTTCATTGGACGATCACAGGTGGCCAGGCCACACTCGTAGGTGTTGTTAGCTATTGTGACTAGCTGCCTTCGAGTTGTCCCCCAACTCATGGTGACCCTGAATACAATGAAACGTTTGAAATACTGCCTGGTCCAGCCCATCCCTGGACCGGAACTTGGGATTCTGTGCATTTTTCACCAAAAATAAAACACAACAATTTCTACTTAAATAATTCAGTGACACTGATTACATTCCATAAGTTTTTAACAGTTGGTGTCCTAGGGATTTGAACAGCTGTGAAAAGTATCTTTATATAGTTTACCGTTTTCACATACCTTCTCAGTTGATTTTCAATTCCTTCAGGGCAAGAACCAGTGTTTGTAGTTCAGTCCTTAATGAGTGTTCAGTCAGGATTGCAGCTTGCAGCAAGCAGCCCCTTCCACTTCCTGTCCCACCAGGTCACCCCTGCCGATCTGGTCCTTTCCCCCTTTCGACCAGGCTCATCCCCTCCCTCCGCTGGTCCTTCGTTGGGCTCTTTCTCTCCTCCTGAGCAGCCTCTACTCTGTCTCCTCCCTGCACGACAGGCACATCCTGTGACAGTGCACATGTCACTATGAACACAGGTGCCTTTTCGTGTGTCAGCTTTCTGCTTGTTCTTGACCTGTGTGAGGTCAGACAAGCCTATGCACAAAGATGCCTAGCATCTGGAACTGTTTGTGGAATGAGCTGATGCATGAGTGTGTTGGTTCTTCATTCGTGTGACAAACACAATGCCAGTGTGCTGTGTTGTAGCCTTGCAGAATCAAAGGTGACATCGGACAGTCTGCCGATGACGATGCTGCTCCGCTAGTCCACTGTGTCCGCCTTTTGTCAGCTTCGTTCTTACTAACTGGGGAAAAAAATGGTAAGTTTTGAAGGGCAGGTGTAGGGATGAAGGACATGACTTTTGGTTTCAGAGGTGACTGTGGCGGGCAGTATTTTGCTGGGTTGGTGCAGCACAGGGAGTGGATTGAGGTGGGGCAGAGGGGTTAGTGGGTTAGTTCTGCTTACTTGGAGAGGAACTGTTGGCTACTTTGAGACGGACTGACTGACGCAGTGGTTTCTCGGTAGCACTGGTTCCTGATCGGGACGTGAGGGTGAGTGTGAAGGCGCTGGCGGTCAGCTGTGTCGGAGCCGCTGTAGCCCTGCATCCCGAGTCCTTCTTCAGCAGACTGTATAAAGCACCCCTTGATACCACCGAGTGCCCCGGTACGTGGAAAGCCTGAGACTCAGTCACTCCTGTGAGAACAAATTCAAGTCATCATGACTCCTTTCTATTTTAGGGTGGTAGGTTTTATAAGTCACTTTGTAGTATATGAACTTTTTTGTGTCTCCCTAGAACTTGCTAATGTTTAGGTTGTTGGATTACCATTAGCCAGATGCAGTATTGGTGGTTGACATACACACCACAACACCAAATGTAGACGTCTGGGCATGCTGCATTAATACTGGAGGCACAAGTTGTGCCTAGTCACAATGATCTCCACTCAACAATGACAGGGAGAGGTGTTCACACTCATAGGCCAGGTACTCACACTCATAGGCCAGGTACTCACACTCAAAGGCCAGGTACTCACACTCAAAGGCCAGGTACTCACACTCGTAGGCCAGGTACTCACACTCGTAGGCCAGGTACTCACACTCGTAGGCCAGGTACTCACACTCGTAGGCCAGGTACTCACACTCACAGGCCAGGTACTCACACTCACAGGCCAGGTACTCACACTCACAGGCCAGGTACTCACACTCACAGGCCAGGTACTCACACTCATAGGCCAGGTACTCACACTCACAGACACACATGTAGGCTCCTGCTTCCTCTTTCCTGGTCTCTGGACAAGCAGGTAATATGGCAGTGTCTTCTTTGGGTTTTTCTAGTCTGGTTTTGAAAACAGAATTTTGAAGATTGGGACCACAGTCTAGACCGTCTTTTGTGTTGGGGTGTGATGAATCTAGAAACCACTAACCCCCTTCCACTTTGGATGATTGTAATCAAGCCGTGTTTAGATGAGAACTAAGCCTCTACCTTGAGTTAGGGAGTTGGTGGTAGAGGACTGGACCATCTAACGGGGCCTGTTTTCTCCGCAGAGGAACAGTATGTGTCGGACATCTTGAACTACATAGATCACGGAGACCCGCAGGTCCGAGGAGCCACTGCCGTCCTCTGTGGGACCCTCATTTACTCCATCCTCAACCGCGCCCGCTTCCACGTGGGCGACTGGCTGGGTGCCCTGCGAGGTCTGACAGGTAACAGGGATGTGTGTGTACCAGTGCCTTCTCAGGAGTTCATGCCTGTGAGCACGTGCACATGACCATGCTTACTGTTTGTCCTTCTCGTCAGGAAATACCTTTTCTCTGGTGGACTGCGTCCCTTTGCTGCGGAAAGCCTTGAAAGATGAGTCTTCTGTTACTTGCCGGCTGGCCTGTACTGCTGTGCGGGTGAGCATATTTGGGGGGAGACTTTCTTGCAATAGAAAGTTTTGTTAGAATTAACAGAAATGTCGGTATCGTTAAAATTGGAGTTCAATAGATGATATTTTTAGACATTCAAAAGCTGTGAGCAATAATATGTCTACTATTCAGCGGGTAAAGTGGAATTATTACAATAGATTTAAGTTTTAATTTTCGGAATATTTGTTTGACATATACCTCAGAGGTGTGAGCCTCTGAGGCGATCAGTCTAACCATCCGTTTTAGTGTCTGAATTGAGCTGCATGAGTTAGAATTGCTTCTGTCCTGGAGGTGGCAGGATGTGGGACCTGTTGACTGACAGTACAGCAACAGCAGACACTGACCTGGAGAAACAAGCCCCAGACCACCTGTGGCTGTCACATTTACGGCACCCATCCCTCTCACAGTTCACAGTCGGACGGGAATCTTTTCCCTTGTCCCAGATGTTTGTTAGTTTAATCAACCATGTCTTCTCCAAGCAGAAGTGTCATGGTGGGCTGGGAGGGCAGGTGAAGAGACAACAGTGAAGGCTCTCCAAGTACAGTGTGACACCTGGTGATGAGCATCCTTCTTGTCTCCAAAAAGGATGTTGGTCCCTTGTCCATGAGCTGGCCCTCTGATTCGTCTTAGCATCGGTGGACTGTGTGTTGAATGGGCTCCTTCTCTAGTGCTGACAAATGTCTGTGAAATCGCCCTTTGGGCTTGGGAATGAGACAAAAGCAGGAGGGAGAGAGACAGTGGTGTGAAGGGACACATTTGCTTCTAAACTGTTAGCTCTTAAGCTTGTGTTTACTGAGCCAGAGTATCTACCATAAGTGTTTCTGAGAGGTGTGGTAAAGTTAGCACGTGGGCACATGACACCGGGAAACCACCAGAGGTCGCGCTCTCACAGAGCTCCTGTGTTTCAGCATTGTGTCATGAGCCTGTGCAGCAGTGGTTACAGCGACTTAGGCCTGCAGCTGGTCATCGACGTGCTGACGCTGAAGAACAACTCCTATTGGCTGGTGAGGACAGAGCTTCTGGAGACTCTGGCAGAGATTGACTTCAGGTGGGTGAGCCAGAATCATTCGATTCAACGGACTACACTTGAGCCAAACTCCGGGGTACCAGCCCGAGGTGGTGGCTCTTAGTCATTGAAAACAGCCCAGTGGGCTTCTGCTGAGCTCTGTCCTATACCGAGACTTGTACCGTAGCTGCCATGGGTGGACTCTTCTGTTGCCTGCAGTCACGTGGGAATGGAAGATGAAGGAGCTCATGCCAGCTCTGTTGGAAAAGAATGCGCTCTTCATCGTAGCACAGAACTGGGGAGCTAGTGGGCTTGTGTTTTGTTTCAGTGAGTTAAAGTGGCGTCTGACAGGTTGCTGTTTTCTTGGCTGAGACTTCAGCTTTAGCTGGAGATGTTTTCTTTCCACACTGTCTTTAAAGGGGAACTCTCCTCTTCATTATCTGCATTCCCTTTGTTGTGGTGGTGGTTAAGCGCTGTTGAGTTTACTCTTTAGAACCTCTTCTGGGAATCTGGTCTTGGTCTCACACCCATTTCACGGATAAGGAGACTAGGCTGGGAGGGAGGGAAGTTGTCCAAGGCCACAAGCCTGTCAGTGGGCAGCTAGAAGGAATCTGAGTCCGCTCTAGAGTCGTTGAATTTAGTGTCGTTTCTGTGCTGCGTCCTTTATTAAGCAAGATTTTTAGAGTATTTAAAAGTCAGAAATATTTATTTTTTATTGTTATCATCATAAGCCCCACCGTTTTCTCGTAAATTGTGTGAAAGTTTCTGGAGCAGATGGGTTTCCATTCACAATCCAGACACATTTTGTTTTCTGTCATTGATGCTCCCACCCCCACCCCCACCGATGTCACTTCCTCCCTGTGTTTTCAGTCCCAGTCCTTCTCCTTTATATGTGGTTGAAGGAGGCCTGGTGACACAGTGGCTAGGTGCTCGACTGCTAACCTAAAGGTTGGCTGTTCAACCACCTTCCGTGGGAGAAAGACGAGGCAGTCTGCTGTCGTAAGATGACAGCTTTGGTAACCCCATGGGCTCGTTCAGCCTGGTCCTGTAGGGTCACTATAAACCATAACCCACTCTGCGGTAACGGGTTTGGGGTTGGTGGTTTGAGCGCTGTCTTACTGAGTCAGACATTCTGAAGGGAACGTGAACTCTTCTGATTTCAAAAGTCGGTCTTCCTGCTGCTTAGTGTGGCCTCGCAGTGCTTTCCAGGTGCTTGGGCTGACCTTTGGAACAAGTGTTCATGGTCACATCTGATCTGACAGGTCCTCCGAGCCTACCTGCTGCTCTTACTGTTCACTGTGCTCTTTGTCAGGTTGGTGAGTTTCCTGGAGGCCAAAGCAGAAAGCCTGCCCCGAGGGGCTCATCATTACACGGGGGTAAGTGTCGACCCTCCGGAGCGGCCCATTCGAGGCTCTCCCTAACAGTCTGAGATCTCTTGGCATCTTGCTTTAGATTTATTGTACAGTGTATGCAAGGGGTTTCAAGAGTTTGTGGGAAAAGTTCCATTCTTTTTAAATTCCATTTTTCTGCAGACTTTTTGAAACGCCTTTGTATCATGAATGTGGTGGTTCCATGGTGTGAGGTTAAGACCAGTCTTCTTGAAGTGGCTTCACTGGGGTTTTTTAACATGCCTAGAATTGATCCAGATAGAGACCTTATATTTGTTTTTCTTTCCCTTTCCTTTCCAGCTTTTAAAACTGCAAGAACGAGTACTCAATAATGTTGTCATCTGTTTGCTCGGCGATGAAGACCCCCGGGTGCGGCATGTGGCTGCGGCCTCACTTATGAGGTATTTACAACCACCTTCTCTCTCTGCCCACTTTCGTGGTCACAGCACTAAAGGTGTAAGAGTGGGAGGTGCGAGAGGAGGATGGAAGGAGAAGGGCAGCTCATTTCCAGCCTTTCGGTTCTGAATCTGGAAGGAGCTCTAGTAGCGTAGTGGTTATGACTCGGGCAGCTAATCTCATAGTCAGCAGTTCGAAACTACCCAAGGTTCCTCAGGAGAAGGATGAGACTTTCTGTTACTGTAAAGATTTTACAGCCTCGCTATGACTCGGAACCGAGTCCATGGCCCATAACCACTGCCGTTCTGAATTTGGAGTGCTGGTGTGGCGGCACGGTGGGCTCATGTGGTGGACTACTGTAAGGTTGGTTTGAACCTTAGGGTCAGTAGTTCAAGCTCACCAGTCACTTCTCGGAAACCCTGTATAGGGTCGCTGTGAGTTCGAACTGACTCGATGGCACTTAACAACAACAGTCTGAATCTAGGACTCCTGGTGTGATGCTGTAAGATCAGCAGTGGACTGCAGACCACAGGTTGGCAGTTCAAACCCACCAGCTGCTCCTTGGAAACCCTATATAGGGGTGCTAAGAGTCGGAACCGATTCAACAGTGCTTAACAACAATAGCAAGAGTCTGCAGTGATGATGAGTCCAGCGACAGAGACCAGACCTCCCATTGTTACAGCACACACGCTCATTGTTGTGACTTTGGGCTCTGGGGACTGTCACCTCTGAGAGAGACAGGAGGGCTCCTGTTTGTAGACCTGCTGGAGAGAGGCCAGGGAATTACAGGGGACTTTCATGGACTTTCTTCATTTCTGATGGCAGGCTTGTCCCCAAGCTGTTTTATAAATGTGACCAAGGACAGGCTGATCCAGTGGTGGCTGTGGCACGAGACCAAAGCAGTGTGTACCTGAAGCTCCTGATGCACGAGATGCAGCCCCCGTCCCACTTCTCTGTCAGCACCCTAACCAGGTACAGCGGCACCCTCCTAAAGCGCCACTCGGTAGGGCTGCATGTCAGGGCAGGCCTATGTCCACAAATGCACAAGTCTCTTCTGACAGCTTGTCCATTGTAGCTTTCACTCTATCTGTGGTTACAGCGCTCCTAGGCGGTAGAGAGGCTGGCAGTTTGAATCACTAGCCAGTCAGCGGGAGAAGACTTGGTAGTTAGGGTAGTAACCGTGGAAACCCTTTGGAGCAGTTCTCTGGGTCCTAGAGAGTTGGTAGGAGTGTTGGTAGGAGTTGGAACAGGCTCAAACAAAATAAAACCAGAGAACAACCTACACCCACAGGGAAAGAACTCCTTGGCCACCTTGTTGCAGGCATGCTTTCTGTTTTATTGTGCTGTGCTTTAGTGCGCTTTGCAGATGTTGCCCCTTGTTTTCATTAAACAAGTTGAAACTTTGTGGCAACCCTGGTCAAGCATGTGCTTACTGCTGCCAGCTTCCCAACAGCATGTATTCCTTTTGTGTCTGTGTGTCACATTTTGGAAATTCTGGCAACAGTATGAGCTCTTTCAAAATGCTGTTGCATATTTCATAGATGAAAACGCTGTATAGTGTAAACACAACTTTTCTATGCACGGGGGAGACCACAAACTGTATGTGACTTGCTCTGTTTTGATACTCAGTGGATTGCAGTGGTCTGGAACTGACCCCACATTATCCCCGGATAATGTGCCTGTCCTTTCTTCTTCATCATCCACTGGCCTTTTCTGTTTGCAAAGATTCAGGACCAATATCCTAGAAGCCACGTGGAAGCAGTGTGACGGTCCTTTATCCTCAGGGATCTGACAGGCGTAGAGTGAGCTGCTGGTTGAGTATCACTCCAGAAAGGAAAACCCTAGATCCTACCCCAAGAAGAGTATATTGTTTAGATAAAATTGCTCACTAGCTACTAGTTGGCACCACTCTGCGTCAGCTCCTGCGTAGTGGGCAGAGGCCCAGCTCTGTCTCTTCTTTGCTCCCTGCTCTGCTGGGACCTGTCAGAGGACAGCACGTGGCTCTCCTTATGCTTCCTGTTGAACGTCTCCTCCAATTGGGAAGGCGCTGGGAGAGACCACAGGTGGTTGAGCAGGGATCCCATTGGGGCTTTGTCCATAACGCTGATGAGAATGGACACGTGCCATGAGTGAAATACAGAGCAAGTGCTGTGGGTGTCTAGGAGACGGGCTGCTCCTGTCTCCGGTAACTTGCATTCTGACCAGTGGGTGGCTTCCGGTGTCTTGAGGTGGCTCCTGGCAAGGGCATAGGCCCTGAAGGTGAAATGGGAGAATTCTTTGGCCATTTTCACAGAATAATTCCCAATCTCTCGCTAACTTAATAGTCAAGGCTGCTTAAACTTTCTTAGTCGTCTTATCATTTTAAACTCTTCAATGCCATTTGATCTGCTAAAATATCATAAGCTTTGACAATGTCTCTTAAGTCCACTATGTTTTTCTTTCTAGAATCTACAGAGGCTATAATTTACTACCCAGCATAACAGATGTCACTCTGGAAAATAACCTTTCTCGAGTCATTGCTGCCGTCTCCCGTGGCCTCATCACGTCGACCACACGCGCACTCACAGTAAGTCCTTTTGGGTTGGTCTTAGCAAACATGATTTTCCGTGGTTTTTATGGCCAGTTTTTAGTGGTAAGATGCTTACTTTGTGTTTCATATTTACCTGTGGACAATTGTGCTTCTGTGAACAGAGCCTTAGTATATTCCAATAGGAATATCAAGAATGTAAACTGAGTGATTATCAAAGTAATCTGTGTTCAGTGTAAAGAGAACAGAGGACACAACCAGCCAGTATGGAATACCTAAACATGTGTGCATAAAAGTAGCCATGGTCCACTCCTGAGCCCACGGACAAGGACACAGCCATGGCCACGGAGAGCTAGAGCTGAGAGTGAAGTGTCCAACTGATATGAAGTGAGAGGAGAAACCCAAACTTGCAGACAGTACCTATTTGACCTAGCTTCGATGGCTTGATGATCAGAACTTGACTAGAAGAAGATAAAAAAACGATTTTTGATCAAGGAAATTAGTGTAAATTGCTACAGTTTGAGGAACTTGACCTATACTTATGGATACAGTATCTCAAAGTACCAACAGAGAGGGGTGGAGTCTTCACATCAAATATCAATGCGATCCCCACTGTACATAGGGTTGATAGGGACGGGCAACTTAGACATTGACTATGTAAAATAAGGGGGCAATAAAGGCATGAAGTGACTGGCTTACAAGTTTTCAAGAGGGAGTTTAGTTTAAGAGTGTGTAGGGGAAGATAGAGTCCCCACTGAATAGTTTTCATCCTGTCTCAACAAGTCTGGTGAAAAGAAATGGGGATAAGATTCTTAGGATTCAGTAGTGAGTAATTGTTATCATGTCACAACTGTAAAGCTTGAAGTTTTGTAACGTAAAAGTGGGGGAGTAGTTAATCGTACAGTCCAGGAACAGAGGACCCTAGGACCATCAAGGGACACAAGTATGAATGGAATGTGGGACCCTAGCCAGAGAAGCAGCGACACCAGAGATGGAGGCAGAGATGGGAACATGGAGAGAGGGAGCAGCTGAGGACTCTAGATTCATGGAAAGTGAAGGTCTGGGTGCTGGGAGGCTGTAGAATGTGCCCTTTGATTGTTTAAATGATTATATATTCCTGAGTGTTTTCATGTACCCTCCTCCCAGAATAACCAAGAACAACTAAATCTCCATAAGGAATGGAAGCAAATGCTGTTGAATGATGATGCACAGAGATTGTAATCATGCAATGAAATGAAATTCCATAGGATGAGTATAAAACTGATGTTCTTCCATGTAAATTATCACTCAATTCACAATAAAAACTTAAGAAAACAAACAAACAAAAAACCCCACAGAAACTAAAAACAGCAAATGCAAATACCGGGGGATGAAAAAAAGCAACCATGATCTTACTAACTGAAATATTTGATGCTCTCTTTTTGGTTTAACGACTTCTAAAATGCTCCTGGATTAAAAATTCTGCCTTCTCTGCTCTATGTGGGATCCAGGCCGTTGAAAGTAGTAGGCTGACCTTAGATTGTGACTGAAGTCCTCCCGTCAGATGCTGGCAAACGCTCTCAGCATGGAGGAACCAACACAGAATGGAGCTGGGAGGCCTTCTTAGTTTGTGTCTTGCCCGTTGGAATCTCGGAGGCTGGCACTCGCCCTGTGTGGGGCACTGAGACCGTGCTGCATGTAGTTTTGCTTCTGGGAACGGGCTTGGTTTCCTCAAGCCAGGGACACACAGCTGGCTGAAAGGCTGCCTGAGAGTCCTCTGCTCAGTTGAGATTGCCATTTCTATGGCTCAAGAATAAATCAATCCTGCGCATTCCGGATGGTTCAAATGACCTGATGGTGGATCTTTGACAGGTGAAAGGTTTTCGGCGATGCTCACTTAGCCTCCTGACTGTACGCCTTACCTGCTTGTGGGACGTTTCTGCTTCGGCAGCTTTTAAACTGTCTTCCCAGGGTTGTGCAACTAGCACGATAGTTTTACGTTTGTGGGGTTTGCTGATAAAATGATCCCATCTCTCTGAGCTGCCCTGAGGCTAATATATCCAGCACAGGCACAAGGATGCACCAAGCTAATGGAGGGAAATGTGTGATGTGTAATGGGGAGGTTAGTTCATGATGCAAACACTTAGGAGATGGTGGTGGTTGGGAGCTTCAAGTCACTTCTGACACGGTGGTCCAGTGTGGCAGTAAAGCGCCCCATATGGTTGTCTCAGTTTTACGTTTTCTGGGAACAGACCCCCAGGTCTTTTGGTTAGCATGGCTTACCTGTTACATCTCCTGTAAAACGTTTAAAGCTGTCCGAGTCTTTACTGGGAAAGGGCCAGTGGCTGCCTTGGGCTGATGGCTTCCGGAATGGCATGGCCTTTCCAGACTACTACGAGGTGACATGAGGTGCTTCCTGCCCACCAAGTGCTGCTGGGAGCACCTGTCACGCATTAGCTCTTTACCTCAGGTGCCCCATCTTTTTGATGAGGACACTGAATACATGTGCGAGTTCACACAGCTGCTAAGTGATGTGGTTGGGAGTCCAGGCGGCCGTTTGACTTCAGCGTTTGCTAAAGATCCTGTGTGTAGCCATGGCGCACAGATAGGTGCTGTACCTGTATGTAGAATGTAGCACCGGTCATACACTTAGTAATAGGTTGGCAGTTTCAGACAGCAGTGGAATATACTCAGCGACCTTGTCACATGCGCTAAGGAAAGCCAGTAGAGCTTCTGGTATAACGTCATTATCTATGTCATTCTGGAGTCCTGGCGTGGCGCTGTGGGTTAATTTGCCAGACTGCAAAGCCGTTTGAACTGCAAGGTCGGCGATTCAAGCTCACCAGCTGCTCCTAGGAAATCCTGTACAGGGTTGCTATGGGTCAGAATCGACTTGATGGTACTTCACAACAGATACCATTATTTTGATGAGGAAAATTGGAAAAGAACCAGCGTGTCCAAAGACACAAGAGCAATTAGAGTGTATACCTATGTAGTATTGGGGGCGTGGTGGTTACATTTCCCTGGTCCCTCTCTGTCACAGGAGTCTAAGGAATTAGTCTCACCAAGTCGTAGCTTCTCAATCACACACGTACAAACCTTCACTCAGAAGCACTTTATTGCCAGTGAAGCGCACTTCAAAGAGAGAAGTGGGTCTGTTCCCACGAAGACCCTGTGGGATTAGAGTGCTCTAGTTTATAAGGGTGTGGGGGCCCCGTCCTCCAAGACTAGGCTGATACATATCAATATGCATATTGATTAGGGGGAGTGGTATGTTGAGTATTCATCTGTTATTTTTGGAAGAGAGGCGAATCTGGTCGACACCCCCTTTCTGTTCTAATAGGGTTGTAACCGGATCTGCCAATGGCGATTTCCAGCTGATTGTAAACTGTCATGGCATCAGGGGGTCTGATTTTTAGTATTATAATGAGATAAAGATGGCTTTCAGGGCACAATTTTTCCCAGTGTGTTTGTGCGTTTACGTCACAAACCATGGAGTTTGCCCAGGAAGTTTGTGGTTAAATATTCAGCTACTTTGGTTGGTCTAAATGGGTCTCCCCGCTTCTCTTAATCTCCACCTAGTAGGAGAGGGCTCAGGGTAAGGGGGTGGATATGAAGCCAGCGTAGCAGAGGCCCAGGGCCCAGGGGTCCTAACCTGTCCCTGACACAGTGGCTCCATATGATAAGCAGTGGACTGCAAACCGCAAGCTCCGTGCCTTGAATCCACCAGCCACTTCGAGGGTGAAAGATGGGCCTTTCTGCTTCTGTGAAGATTTAAAGCCTTGGAAACCCAATATGGGTTTGCTATGAGTCAGAATTGACTCAATGACACGTAACAATGACAACAATGCAGTATTTATTGCGGCTTTCGTTTTACTTGGATCTGTGATCAATGCTCATGCAGTCAAGAAATCAAATAGCATATTGCATGAGGCAAATTCGTTGTAAAAGACCTCCTCAGAGCATTAAAAAGATGCCCCTTTGAGGGCTAAGTTGCCTCTCATTCACCTTTTGAGCGTGTGACAGTTGGACAGTGAATAAAAACATGTGAAAGAATTGATGCGTTTGATTTATGGTGCTGGAGAAGAATATTGAAAGTACCATGGACTGTCAGAAGAGCGAACAAGTCTGTGTTGGAAGAAGTACAGCCCGAATGTTCCTTAGAAACCAGGATGGCCAGACTTTGTCTCTCCTGCTTTGGATATGTTATCAGGAGGGACCAGACCCTGAGAAGGACATCGTGCTTGGAAAAGTGGAGGGTCAACTAAAAGAAGGAAGCCCACCCCCCCACCAACGAGATGGATTGACAAGTGGCTGCAGCAATACACACAAACACACCAGCATTTCTGAGGCTGCACATTTGTTAGGAGGATCAGCTGCCAAACTTGTAGTTCTCTTATCCTTAGCACCACCAAGGTTTCTGTGAGGTTCTAAAGAATTTTAAAAAATAATGTTTTAATAAATACATGAAATGTAATGTATACTTAATAATATGCATATTAGGATTTCAGTCATGAAAAATGTTATTCACATTCCTCACATACTCAGAAACATGACGTGTAGAAATTGCCAACTGAATTTGAGGGCTGGGACATTTTTTGGTTTTCTGCTATATGGTTTCGTGAAATGGACAAGTATCACTTTGATAATCAGAAAATACAATGCTACACAAAGTAGTAGGTAGAGCTGCACTGATCTGCAGGTTTCTCCTTTGTCGTCCGTGTTGGTAACCAGACAAGCTCAGTGACTACTGTAGAAAATGCATTATGGAATCGACGATTACCATTAGGTCATACTAACAGGAGAGAGGCATTGTGGGCCATCTCTGTTTGCTCAGCAGAGACATTCTTCATGGGCTCCCTGTGTATGCCAGGACCACTCTGGGCTTGGGATGTAGAAACATGTAGGATTTATGCCCTCTGCTTCCTGGAGTCCAGGCCTCAAGGAGAGGACCCTGACCCCCTTGAGCAATCGCGTGGAGAAGTATATGCAGACACCAGATACAAGGACCGCAGCCCACTGGTATCTCCTAGCAAGCTGCAGTTGACCTGTCGTGAAACCTGCCTCACTTACAAGGTTACATCTAATGGAGTCTGCATTTTGACCACACTAAGATCAGTATGCTAAAGTAGAATTCATCCCAGGTCTAAATTTCCCTCTTCATTGTTGGCACCTTTGTAAAGCGTAGGAGGAAGTTGACTTCAGTAGACTTTTTGGTGGTAGGCTATGTGTGACCTCACTGTCCCTTTCTTTTTAGTTTGGATGCTGTGAAGCCTTGTGCCTGCTGTCCACTGCCTTTCCGGTTTGCGTTTGGAGTTTGGGTTGGCACTGTGGGTACGTACCTCTCCTCTGTGTGCTGCCATCTGTAGTGGCACTGTATAGAGTTACTGGGACCCGTTTTCTGGCTTGTGAAGTCTTTTACCCACTTGTCCTTTTAGGAGGAAAATACTTGAGAGAACATTGCTCCTACCTGTGCATTGTGTGGAGACCAGTGATCTGAGTGAGCGTAGGACTGTTGTAATGTAGTGAGGGTCCCCTGCTTACCCTCAGGCTCCCTTGCATATTTGAACCTGTAGGTTCTCATAAGGACATTCACACATGCTGGCAGAGGATGTCTGTGGGCAGGGTTCCCTCCAAAATTATCCACTGTGTATTGAATTTTGGAAACATTTTTGGTTTAAATCAAATGTGACCCAGCACACAAAATTGATGGTGAACTACAAGAATTTTGTTTTCGAAGTCTTATGCTCACATTAGCCATTTCCATTTAAAAACAATTTCCTCCACTAGATGGCCCTTGTGGCATGTGTGAAAGAATTGGGGGTCTTCTACAGTACTGGGGGTGGGGTGGGGACAGGGGGAAGTCATCCTGGTGTGGTGCTGGAGGTAAGCACTGGACTTCAAGGTCGGCGATTCAAGCTCGCCAGCTGCTCCTTAGAAACCCTATTGTTGTTAGGTGTCATCGACTCATAGAGACCCTTTACACAACACTGCCCAGTCCTGGACCAACCTCACAGTTGTTGCCACACTTAAGCCCATTGATAACTGTCACTTTGCCAGGCCATATCACTGGGGGTCTTCCTCTTTCTCTATGGCCCTTCACTTTACCAAACATGATAGCCTTCTTCAGCGACTGGTCCCTCCTGACAATACGTCTGAAGTATGATAGATGAAGTTTGGCCATCCTGGCCACCAAGGAGCACTCTGGCTACACTTCTTCCAACACAGATCTGTTTGTTCTTTTGGCAGTCCGTTGCACTTTCAATATTCTCCTCTAACACCATAACGCAAAAGAATCAAAAGCATCAATTCTTCTACGGCCTTCCTTATTCACTGTCCAGCTTTCACATGCATATGAGGTTATTGAAAATATCATGGCTTGGGTCAGGCACACCTTAGTCCTCAAGCTGACATCTTTGCTCTTCAACACTTTAAAAAGGTCTTGTGCAGCAGATTTGCCAAATGCAATACACCATTTGATTTCTTGACTGCTGCTCCCACGAGTGTTAATGATTGATCTAAGAAGAATGAAGTCCTTGACAAATTCAGTCTTTTCTCCATTTATAAAAATGTTGTTTATTGGTCCAGTGGTGAGGATTTTTGTTTTCTTCACATGGAGAAGCAATTCATACCGAAGGCTGTGGTCTTTGATCTTCATCAATAAATGTTTTAAGTCCTCTTCACTTTCAGCAAGCAAGGTTGTGTTATCTGCATGGTTGTTAAGGAGTCTTCTTCCAATCCCGATGCCACGTTTTTCTCCATAGACTACAGCTTCTCGGATTATTTGCTCAACATACAGGTTGAATAAGTATGGTGAAAGAATAGAACCCTGTTGCACACATTGCTTAGTTTTAAACCATTCAGTGTTCCCATGTTCTGTTCAAAGATTCTTCATGAGCACACTTAAGTGTTCTGGAATACTCATACTTCGCAATGTTGCCCATAGCTTGTCGTGATCCACACAATGAAAAGCCTTTGCGTAGTCAATAAAGCACAGGTAAACATCCTTCTGTTATCCTCTGCTTTCAGTCAAGATCCATCAGACATCAGCAATGATATCTCTCGTTCCACGGCCTCTTCTGAATCTGGCTTGAACCTCTGCAAGTTCTTTGTCAATGTATCATTGCAGCTGTTTCTGTATTACCTTTAGCAAACCTTTACTCGCATGGGATATCAAAGAGATTGTCTGATTTCTGCATTCCGCTGGGGCACCTCTCTTTTCAATGGGCACAAATACGAATGTCTTCCAGTTAGTTGGCTACATAGTCGTCTTCCAGATTTCTTGGCATTCATGAGTGAGTGCCTCCAGTGCTACCTTTCTGGAACGATTTCAGTTTTTATTCCAATTCCTGATGCCTTGTTCTTTGCCAACTCCTTCAATGTACCTTGAACTTCTTCCTTCAGGATCTTTGGCTCTTAGTTTTATGCTATTTCTTGAAACAGTTGAACATCAACCATTTCCGTGTGGTACAGTGACTGACTCTGTGTATTCTTTCCATTTTCTTTTGATGCATTCTGTGTCATTTAATAATTTGCCCAGAGAATCCTTCAATAAAGAAATTGGGGCTTGAGTTTTTCTTCAGTTCCCGTCAGCTTAAGAAATGCTGAGCATGTTCTTCCCTTTTGGTTTTCTGACTCCAGATCTTATCACATAATGTTGTAATATTTGACTTTGTCTTCTCAGGTTGACCTTTGAAGTTTTTTGTTCAGCTCTTGTACCTCCTCATTTTTTCCATTTACTTTAGCATCTCTATGCTGGAGAGCAAGTTTCA